ATTTTTTTCTGGGACATTGAGCCTTCTCTGTCAGAGAACTCTGGTGCCACAATAAACTATAGTTCCCATGGTGAGTGATGAAGTTCAAATTCAGCATGATGTTTTTACTCTTCCTGGCTTCAAAAGTTGTTTCCAATAGGCAGCTCTGAGCGTGCATTATTTATTTATTTCATTTCTATGCCCCCTTTCTAACAGAAAGGGACCCAAGGCAGCTCACATATAAAATCATTTAAAATTTTAAAATACAAATTTTAAAACAGTTATTTACTTATTTAAATTTATATTCCATATTTCTACCTCTATAGAGACAAAAGGTAGCTGACAACAAATTTAAAACAGTACAAGTTAAAATAATATGATAACATTAAAAATGTAGATATAAAGTTTTAAAATACTTAAACACTTTTAAAAGCTAAAAATATAAATATTTTAAAAGTGTTTAAGTGTTTTAAAACTTTATATCTACATTTTTAATGTTATCGTATTATTTTTACCTGCTGCTGAAAGGACAGCAGGAATGGGGACATCCTGGCCTGTCTAGGGAGGGAGTTCCAGAGCCTGGGAGTAGCCACCAAAAAGGCCCTCTCCCTCGTTCCCATCAAATGAGCCCAAGAGGGTGATGGGAAAGAGAGAAGGAGCTTTGTACATGATCTTAACACTCTAACAGACTCATAAAAGGAGCATGTTTATCATTCTTTAGCCTTTGTAACAATGCGTTAGTAATTTTGCAGACCCATTCAGAAAATACAGACTATGATAGAAAGCCTTTACAAGGTGACTTTCTAAAAAAGGAAAGATTTACAGACAGATTTAAAAGTTATCTAATGCCACAATAAGCTTCTAGTTGTTTTTTTAAAGTCACAACCATGACAACATACCTCCCATTTTTGTCAGCTTCTTGAACAAAGGAAGAGATGGCCTGTCTGCAAAAATCTCACTTTGTTGAACAAGGCATTCTTTTATTGCGTCGTATCCATTCAGTACAATAGCGGAGATACCTCCCAAATCAAGACTAAAGATCTTCAAAACAAAGAGAGAGAGAGCGAGAGAGAGAACTATTTCATGTCACTTTCAAGAATAAGTCTAAATAAGAGTAATAAACTACTGCATTATCTTCAAAATGTTATTTCTTGATCTGCTTTTAGAAGAATACCTTGTATTTTGTCCAAAAGTATGATGTCAATTTGTGGGTATATAATACAACTTTCCCCTCCAATTACTTGAAAAGCAGCATGGAATATAATTATGTAAAAATATTCTAGAACTATTATGGCTTGCCTTCATTCATAGATCCTAAATCAGTGCCCATCCTGCCCTCTTTTACTGCCATGGCTTACACACTGATTACCCCAGAAGATGGGGGGGAAAACACACACCATAATTAGCAATATGTGTTAAATGGGAAGTTTATCATGTATGAAACATCTTGAGAGGAAGACAGAAAAACCTAGCATTGAAAGATATCCTTCCTACTATATGGTTTCCTATCAGCAACCTCTCACTGTTATTGATAGTCTCAAGAACCCTGCTATGAAGCCATAATCAAAACAATGCCATAAATTATCTGTGACAAGAACACTATTAGATTGCTTTTTGTTCTAGCAAGCTGGTGTCCTTGCTATTTCACATAGGACGTTATCACACGGGGCAAATTTGCTGGTTAATCCACACAAATCCCAAACAAAAACTGGATTTGTGCCTTGCGTTTTCACACGACGTCGCACAGAAACTGGACAGAAAGTGGACAGAAACTGGTGTTATCTGAGATCTTTTGAAATTCGGTTGTTTGGAGGAAATGCAAATGCAAAATTAAGGTAATTTCGCATTTACCGTAATGTGAAAAGCAAATGCGCATTTGGGAGCATTTCCCTGCTTTTCCCATGGTTCCAGTGAGCATTCCTCTATCTGCACATGTGCAAGAAGCTCATTTCTAGTACATTTACGGGCTTTTCTCACTTGTGTGTGAACATTAAATGCGCTTACTTTAATTTCGCAATTAAGGTAATTACGTGTGAAAGCCATTTGCGGAATCAAGGTTTATTTTCGGTTTATTTTCGGAATGCCTCATTTCCACTTTATTATCGCTTTCTGGCCCACGTGTGATAATGTCCATACTGTATATACTCGACTATAAGTCAAGAAATTTATGCCCCAAAAGTGACCCCAAAACCTGGGTCAACTTATATATAGGGCAATACAGTAAGAGGCTTGCCCCTCCAGCCTCTTCCACAGCCTATTTGTATCCCGAAGGAACACCTGGGCTGGGAGGCAAATGCTTGCCTCCCTCCTTTGCCCCAGTCCCGATGCCCTCCAAAAGCTGGAGGACACCAGGTTTGGGGAAGGGCTGGTGGGCAAACGCTTGCCTCCTTTCCTCTCCTCAGTCCTGATGACCTCCAAAGGCTGGAGCACATCAGGATTGGGGAAAGGCTGGGGAGGGGCAAATGCTTGCCTCCCTACTTTTCCCCAGTCCTGATGGCATCCAAAGGCTGGAGGACACCAGGTTGGGAAAAGGCTGGGGGGGCGGGGGAAATACTTGCCTCCCTTCCTCTCACCAGTTCCAATGCCCATCCAAAGGCTGGAGGACATTGGGATCAGGGAAAGGCTGGGGGGAAAACGCTTGCCTCCCTCCTTTTCCCCAGTCTGGGTGTCTTCCGAAGGGACAGCCAGGCTGCAAAGGAGGAGGAAAAATGAGTGCTTGCCTGTGAAGCTTCCTCCCCAGCTCGGCTATCTCCCAATGGGATAGCTGGGCTGTGGAGGGGAAGGAAGGGCACTGGGAGCCACATGATACCCTCGACCTATCCAGGGGTCATCTCAAAATCCCTCATTTTGGCCCCAAAGCCTGCACTCGACTTATACACGGCTTCGACTTATACACAAGTATATATGGTAGTTTAAACTAGCTGTTGTCCTACATGTTTCAGGGACTACACAGTGAGAAACCTGTCCCCAAGATCTGGATGTGATTGTAAGTTGCTGATACTTTAAACCTGAAAGTATTGGTGTTTAATGTCTTTGTTTTGATGAGGAAAATATTTATTGATGTACTTCATACAGTAAATTATGATTTTTTTTAAGAAAAAAACTACTTCTACAACATTTCTAAAATGTCAGAATTTCATACTTGGAATTTGAAATTGTGCAGGATTATCAGTGTCTTAACAGGAGCAGGAGCTTTTGCTTCTGTATTTATAATATGTAAGTGTACCGAGTTTAGTATAATATGTGCTTTTGAAATCCAGAGAGTGAGATTTTGCACTAGAATTGCACTCTTAAATTACCTTCCAACACAGGGGTAGGCAACCTTTTTGAGCCGGGGGCCGGTCCCCTGAAGTCGTCCCTTCCAGCAGGCCGGTTGGGGGGGGGGGGGAAGAATGGTGACGCACGTGCTCATGCTTGCGCGACCCCTCCTGCGCTGCCACCGCGATGCATGTCGCGGCCGCCATTTTGTTCTCCAAAATGGCGGCCGCAACGCATTTGCGCATGCGTAGGAGTACTGCGCATGCGCAAATGCATCGTGGCCACAATTTTGGAGAACAAAATGGCAGCTGCCACTCGTGTCGTGGCCGCCATTTTGGCGACCAAAACACGCGGCGGTGGGGGCAGGTAAGCGCGGGGGCCTGCGCTGTAACCAGCCCGCGGGCTGTAGGTTGTCGGCCCCTGTTCCAACATATAGAAATTCTATATCACTAATGATCAGGGTTCTAGAAATTCACATCCAAAACATGTTGAGGACAAAAGACTCAGAACCACTGTACTAGAGAGCCCCAACTGAGCACAACTCCTCTATGTGTCTATGGTGTGTTTTAGAGTCCAGATTTCATGCAGGCAAAGCTCACTCTTCCAAATACCAATAGACCCACTGCTAAGTTACAAAAGGAACAGACTTTCCTTTATGAGACATCTGTATGCCTACATTTTAAAAAAATTAAGAAACCAGAATCTCCAGTATTTAACTAACAATCTTCTTGCTCAATGCTTGTCTGATGTGTGTGACCCATAATTATTTCTTCCAATATGCCAGGGACTGACACCATATTTGTGCCCACTGGCTGCAACTGTTTTTCTTTCCTGGAATCTCAAAATGGTTGGGCAGCCAATGGCTCAGGGACCAGCACCAATCCAGGGAGCACCACTTTGAGCAACGCTGCTCTAGCTCACAACTGAAACCTGAGACTTAGTGGTTCTGAGGTAGGTTTAGTTGAAAAATGATAGCGTTTATCTTGACTTACCAGGGCCTTCTGCAGAACCTACAGGCTCTCTGGCAGATATGAAGTTCGGGGACCAGTATGCCATTTCCCCACTAGCTCTGGTGAGCAACACAGCAGAGTGGGGTAAGAAGTCAGTCCACACAAATCAAGTGGTGGTAGTGGATGACTGGAGGAATTTGCCCAAGCCCCATAATGCACATGGAAGGCAAATTAGGAAATGCATTGTAAAGGGTGTGTGCATATTTCATAATAACAATCCTATACACAGATCAAAAGCATCTGAAGAAATAGACTGAAGTCTACGAAAGCTCATGCTGCCAATTTCTTTCTTTCAGTGAGTCTCAAAGGTGCTACAAGATCTCTCTACATACTAATCCTATACACAGTATGCAAAGGCATTTTGTAGCACCTTTGAGACTAACTCAAAGAAAGAAGCTGGTACCATGAGCTTTTGTTGATTTGAGTGTACTTCCTCAGATATATGGACTCTATGCATTTGAGCAAGTAGATTCAAGTCTATGAAAGTTTATGCTACCAGCTTCTTTCTTTTATTTAGTCTCAAGGTGCTATAAGATCCCTTTACACACTGATTTTCTAGACTAATACAGTTATTCTTTGAATGCTTATCGGTGTTGCTGTTGTGTGACTTCAAGCTGTTTCCGACTTATAGTGACCCTAAGGCAACCCTATCATGGGGGTTTCTTGACAAGATTTGTTCAGAAAGGTTTGCCATTGCCATCCCCTGAGGCTGAGAGAGTGCGACTTGCCCAAGGTTACCCAGTGGGGTTCTATAGCCGAGGCAGGGAATCGAACCCTGATCTCTAGAGTCATAGCCCAACACTCAAACCACTACGCCATGCTGTCTCTCCTTTGAATGCTACACACAATTACTGTGTAAGACATTTCAAGCATTCTGTTTCAAACACAAGGCTCAGGACAAAAAAAATTGAGTAAGGGCCTTTGCAGACTGCCAGAAATAGTGCACATTAAATTGAGGCACTGCCCTGGCTCAGTGCTAGGGAATCATGGGAACTGTAATGTATTGTGGCACCAGAGCTCTCTGACAGAGAAGGCTCAATGTCTCAGAAAAAAATACAGTTCCCATGATTCCCTAGCACTGAGCCAGGACAGTGCCTCAATTTAATGTGCACTATTTCTGGCAGTCTGCAAAGGCCCTAAGTCATATTCTGATGTTTGAATCAATAAGTACCTAACACATCTAAAGTGACTTATTCAGAGTTAAGTCCCATTCATTTCAGTGGGATCTATTCCCAAGTAATCATGTTTAAGGTTGCATCCTAATACCTTCTGGGCTGTACTAAAGAGAGTCAAGATTGAAGCTTCATCCTAACTGCAGAAATAATCCAGTTTGACACTGCTTTAACTGAACTACTACAGTTCCCAGAATTCCATAGATGGTGCCATGGCAGTTAAAGCGGTGTCAAACCAGGTTACTTCTGCAGTGAGGAACAAAGGTATTGTATGCTGAGAATGTAGCGCTCCTCCGTTACATAACGCTCCCATTTAGACTTTCCCATTCATACCAAGTTGGCACTTGCAAGAACTGTGGGATAGGTTGCTTTAATCCCCAAAGTTGCACAAGCCAGAGGCAAACAGATCATTCCTGTATGTGTCGTGTGAGCATAAAGTCTCTTGACTCGCTCTCTGACAAATGACAGTCATCGTAAGCCCCGCTGAATAAAATGGGATTTACTTCTGAATAAACAAACACAAACAGAACCACAAAGTCCAGGGCAGCAAGTTGCTCAGAATTTCATATTTGGCTTGAGAGCCAGCATGCCATAGTGGTTTGAGTGCAGGACTGCGACTCTGGAGGCCAGGATTTGATTTCCCGCCTCAGGGTGACCTTGGACAAGTCACACTCTCTCAGCCTCAGGGAAAGGTAATG